GGCACCTCAGAACAGTGACTGAGTGCAGGCTTGGACTCCTGCAGCTGAACCATTTAACTTTCAATCCTTGCACTGATGAAGCAGAAGGGTATTATTAATCTACCTTTGCACTTCCAATATCCTTGGGTCTTCTGCGAGATGGCCTAGCTCCCAATATACATTAGAGAAATCCTATGACCATTCTAGCACCTACAGGTCACAGGCCATGCTGGCAATGTTCTAACCCACCTTTCAAAAATTGGCAGGAGGCCTTTACAGCAGCACTGCACCATGTCTGGAAGCCTAACAGTGGAAATATTCCCACCAGAGTATTTCCATCCCTTCTGCACTGATGAACAGAGGCTAGGCACAAACCAGGGTGGGGTGGGGAGAGGGAAATCAGCTTATGTCTCATTTTCTAATTTGTATAAAAACACATTGCATACTCCCTAGCCTTCCACAATTTCTAACAAAGCCCAAGCCACCATGGAGTCACTTGGTGTCTATTACTTGCTCAGTATCCAGCAGTACTAGTCTTTTGAGCTAAGTACAGACAAACAAAAAGCCCAAGGCTGAAACAATTCAGTCTTCACAGGTTAGTCTAAGCTGTGGAGATTGAACCGATAAGCAAGCGAACAGTCACTTCTGATTTCAGAAATACAGCCACATGCCTGCAGTGGCTCAGGCCAGAAGCCAAGGGGTGCTAACATAGGTGACACGTAGGGTGGGCACGTGCTCCCCCTGAGATTGGCTGCCACTGCTGGCTTCTGTGGGTGGTCCCTGCTTGCCACCTGCCCCCCCCCTTGCCATTGCCAGCATCTGTGGGAAGTCCTTGCTCACCACCCTGCCTCTGGCATTTGCCTCTGATATAACCTAAATCAGTTAAGTCTGATACCCACTTCAGCCATTCTGAGAGCAGTTTATGTGCGCTGAACTTCTGTTGTGTTACAGATTTGAACCTGTTTCCTTAAATTTATACTGGTTTATATGCCATTGCTGTCCCTAGCCTTGATGATCTTTAAAGTAGTCTTCATCCCACTTACCTGGCTGCTGGGAACAGGGGAGGACAGGCTACTCATCCTGTCTCCTAACAGTGAAGACAGGAATATAGAAAAAGAGGGAATGATTGTCCCAATCCAGACCAATCCTTTTCAGGAATCATGAGACACAGGGCATACTAGTCCCTCTGATACAAAAGGACTCTTGCCCACGTTTCCCTCTCCAATTTAAGTAAAAATTAAAGCTAGTTTTGTTTTTGGCTGCAAAAGTGAACAACATTCTCCCATACAGCATGTTGGCTATTTGCAGTGATGCCTAAAAATCCTGTCCATCAATTTGAAGACATAGACCTGACCTTAAAAAAAGTGTTAACTGCAGAATTAACTTGAATTACCTACATTTGGAGTGAGATCAAGTAGTAGATGTTGCATTAGCACTTGATAAGCTGTGTTAACTTGAGCTGTAAATGTCTCCTGATTGGCTAGCCTTTTTGAGTCAACAGTTTCACATTTAAAGTTAATGGTTTGTGTGTGAAGGCAGGACTCAACCTCAGCTGTGAAGCCAAACTCAGTATCTTAATTTTGAGGTGTATTTTTGAACAGTTTCCACATTCCTCAGTGCAGGGCTGGAAAATAATATAGCACTTATTTCGATTCTGTTCTTACAGAACAGAACAGAACAGGGAAAGTCAGCTTGTCAATATATTTTATTCTGACGAACAACACCTGCATGTGCATGCCTTGCATAGATAATGATTTAGTACAATGAAAGACATAAATCACAGGAGGCCAAAATTTAAAAAATGTCCTAAAATGTGCATTTTATTTCATATCATTATACAATGTTTACATACAGGCATAATTTTAAAACTGCTTAAAAGGTGTGTAAAATAAAGTGAGGGAAATACCAAGTTATAATCCCCCCTCCCAACTCAACACAAATAAAATACAATTTAAAACAATCTCTACCAAATTCACGTTTTCTCCTGAATTTAATGAATCTTTCATTTCAACATGAAAAATACAGTGGAATGAATACTCAAGTTGAAATGCTGACCTACACATTTGTAATGAGCTGCAAGTCTACTAGTTAAAAATCAGAAAATCTTAAATATTTTGCTTCTTGCCTATCCCTTTGTTTTATTGAATTCAAAGGCACAGAAGGTTCAAATCCTCACAGATCAATACAACTCAGATAAAATAAATTACCATGCTGCACAAATATTTGAATTGTACAGTATCAAACTAAAAGCCCACTGTTGTATCTTTTGTTAAAAGTAGCACCAGTCCGCACCTGATCTGTCTCTCCAACATTACTCAGTCTTCTTGTCAAATATAGTTGGCACTTGAGGTGGGACACTTTCTGCCGCAGCAAGGATTCCTAGACAGACTAAGCATACTGTATTGCTTAACTCTCTACAAAGTGTAGGCGACATCACGTTGGGAAATGGCACATTTAAACCATAATAGTTTAACCCGCATATGGCTTGCCCATTTTGGTGTTTCCCTGACCCCTGCCTGGTAGGTAAGCAGATGTTCCTGTGACTGTGGTGAAACTAAAATAAAAACACGTTTAAGGGGTTTCATGGCAAGCAGGTGTAAAAACAAAATAATATGGTTGCATCTAAGAAGGTTTTCACATGTTGTTTAACTCCAGTAAAGTTTGATCCAACATCTGATGCATACTAAGGTTTTCTTCTTTGGCATGTGCCACTTTCTCTGTTATGGGATTAAAAAATTAAGACATGAATAACAGTTCTTTGGATGCATCAATTTTCTTAACATGAAACCATGCAATCATCTTTTATCATGGAGGAGTTTAGAAGGATGAGATATATGCATGCTCGTAAATACTAGCATCTTTAGCCAAGACTATGACAAAAGATTCAAATCAATAAAGTGAACTTCAAGTGATGCAAGTTTTGAACTGCTGTGCAGCTACATGTCTAAAAAAACTGACCACTGTCAAAAGAGGTAAGATGTTTGTAAGGTTCATAAGCCACTTGGAGGGGGGGGGGGGGGGGGGGGGGGGGGGGGTCAAAGCAAGGAGGGGGGGGGGGGGGAGGGGGGGGGGGGGGGAAGGGCAGGATTAAAGAAAGAAGGGGGTGAAATTAACAAAAAAAAAAGTCAAACCACCAAGAAGGACAGAAATTATGATTCTGTACTCCAAGAACATTCACACTTTTCAAGCTGCATCATAATTCAGAACTTGCAGAGAACAAAACAACTCCCTTCCAATTAAATGGCTTCTGAGAAAATTAACGTTATTTTGGCTATTAAATATAATCAAAAAGTGTTTTATTGGCAGTTAGTAGTTTTACGTTGCATGCACGCTTTTATAGAGCAGTCATTTAACACTCTTATATGACAATATATACGCACAATGTTCTGGAGCTACATGCTATCAGAATCCAATAACAACAACTTTATGCTGATGCAAGCATACCTTTAAACTGACCAGGTATTTTAAGATGGGACTCCTATTTCTAAGGCTGCTTTCACCCAAATATAAGGCCATTTTATTGTAAACTGAAAACAGTGCACTGAATTTCCACTTATGAAAGAGCTGGGAATATATTTTATTTTGGTTTTGAAAATCGGAAATCTTGGCTAACATCCCCTCCCCACCCTCATTTCCCCTAGTAGCCAGTAAAACTCTTAACTCCAAATTATAATGGGAACTAAAATGAAAGAATAAGTTTTCTACAAGAAAGGGTGCTGGTTTTTAAATGCTATTGGCCAGAAACTGTAACTGGTAGTGTAGTGGAAAGGATGCACCTATTACACACAAAGAATGTGCAGCTGCTCCAAGATATACATTTAAAGGAGCCATAACAGAAGGGGCACTTCCACATTTTTCCAGCATCATTTGAAAGTGTGTCATGCATTAATTTATAGCAGATACAATACCCTTAATATCAATTTACAGGTTTCTTGCATATTTCTACATGGACTCATTCATTCTTGAGGAATTTAGGTAAGTTTATGTTTAAAAACAGCTGACAGTATATCCACACCAAAGTTTAATCCTCATTCAATGCCAACTTTAGTTCATTAGTTAGGCGACTGTTTTGCTCAAGTTGCTGGTAGAGTTGGTCTGTACAGTCAGCAAGCAAGTTAAAAGGAAAAAAAGGCAGAATGAAGAAAGATTAGACAGAAAATAAAGGTAAATAAGAGTTAATAAAAACTAGTCACAAGACAGTTCAGTAACTAGTAAAACAGAGAGAAAATCCTTTCCTTACCTTTAGTCAGAGTACTAGAAATATAAATACCTATTCCAAAGCCCAAGGAACACCCACTACAACCTTTGAAGGACTTCTCTAACACTCCTCTTGTGGGATTAGATTGTGGGACAGATCAATAGTGAGGAAAAAAACCAAGAGGCAGACCCAAAAGTATCTCCCAAGTGAAACCATCCGAAATGTAGTGTAAACTTCTAAACCTAGACCTGCGTGCAGCAGCAACTGCGCCAGTGTTTGTTTTAGGACTACCATCATTCTGTGCAAGTACACAAGACATGGCATGATTTCATAGCTAAACATCACATGACTGAAATCAAGTGTATAATCAGGCTTGACTGAAGTGCACTAGCTTAGTGAAGTCTTGGCTCAGTGTAACAGACACTGAAATCACCGCATCTTTTTCAGTGAGTCTCTTGCAGTCTCAGTGTTCAGTTTAACATGACTGGATCAAGCCCTGCATGACTAACTGCACGTTCTCTGTATTGTGTGATTTGGCAACTGAAATAGCTTTGGGAAACTAAGGTGCATTTCCCAATTACTAAAATGAGGAGGATTTAAAAGTCCTTGAATGTAATATGCGATTCACACATGTACATGTGACAGGCTTCACAGTAGGCAATGTTCAGGTGAAACAATGAGTGCAAGCTGCCATTCTGCTTGAGTAGCGCAAAATACTCAAGGACTGTCATGACAGTTGAGCTTCAGGATCAAACACCACACATACAACTACAGTATTAAAACAGAAAATCTAGTGAGGATTGTTCCATGACAATGTATTCTGTTTCCTTCTCTTGTTTTGTATTTTTATTGACAGCATAAATATGAATTGAGATTTTACATGAATATTTTGACTGTTCATACCCAGTTTTTCCAGTGTGCAGAGCAATCTGTTTTGCCTTTCAGATAACCCACCTGAGAGCTACAGCAGCAATATATAACATCCTACAGCAGTAACAAGGCCATACAAGGCCACAGGATACATTTGTGCAACAAATGGCAAACACCTGAGCCAGGTAAGCTCAGAAGATAGCCCAGAACCCGGGTCTGTTACAACTGACAGACTGCCTCAGCATCCCTCTTCATCACTGCAATGTTACACATTAAATCATACTTGGAAACACTATCCAAATCTCAAGATAGCCAAGCATCCACTCTGAATATCAAAATCTATGTAGTGATTCTTCAAAAAAATATGGTGTTATAATTTGAACTAAGAGCTGCATATTTGTTTGGATCATAACACTTTTTTTTTTTTTTTTTTTTGAGGCAAAAAAAAAAAAATTCTAGATGCCCAAACTAAAACTAATTCTAAAAATCACTAGTCAGACTTGATCATCTTGACCACAAGTTTTCCAACTTTTAAAATGTATATATAAACAGGAACAGGACAGATTTAATTGATAATTGTATAGTTATTGGCCAATATGAAGACTGTCCAAATTACACCTATCTTTATTTTGTGGCTTTTAATTCTTTTGAGAAGAATTAAATCTGAGGCTTTTTTAGATTTGACGAAATTTGAAAAAACAAGAACAAATAAAAAAAACAAAATAAAGCAAACACACACCACCAAAAAACCTCGAGTTTCTCTATCCTCACCTGGTTCAATTTCTCTAATGATCAATATTCAGATCAAGCATAGTATCACGTTATGAAAAGATGCTATGAGGTGAAGTTGACAAAAAAAATTCAAAAACAGAAATGGAAAAAAGTGTTGATTTTCAATTGGAACCAAAACAAAAGAGAAGTAGAGAAGAAATTACCAATTATGAAAGGACTGCAAGAGGGAAGGATGCATTTTCAAGCCTCATAGAGTACTATACATTTGACAAAAGTTTAAAAAAAAAAAAAAAAAGATAATAGCTTTCTAAGGGAACTCCACATTACCATTTACATGGGAATGATATGCAATTAAGTATGAATATCTAGGTACGGAACAGTAAATTTAGGTACACTGATTTGAGCTGATTTATGTTTTATAAGCTTTGGAAACTTTAGCAACAAAATCTAATGAAAGGAGTAATTAGAAGTCAATTTAGTTTAAACTGATATTCACTTTAACGTAAAAAACTATTTTAATTTTTCCCCTCATTATGAAGGAAATGAAGTTAGAATAGTTGCAATGAATTTAAAGAAATACCATTGCACTTCTAATTATATATAATATAGGAGAGCAAAAAATGACAATATTTCATGTTCTATACTTAAAAGGACAAATGTCAAGGTCAATATGAACCCACCATTTAGGTTTTTCAGAACAAAGATTTAAAGGACCAGAGATCAACGAAAACATTTAATTTAATATGTAATGAAGGCAGGGCAGTATGAGTTAACTACTGACAATTACAAGACTGATTTAATTTTTAAAGCATTTCTCTGCAACTCAAACTTGCAATTTTATGCCAACACAAAACTGTAAAACTGATTAAAGATAAAAGTGAAACGCCACTGCATTTTCCCCCAACCTAGGGAGTAAAATTTAAGAAGTAAACAACATCTACAGATTTCCATAGCTCCAGAACTCAAGTAGTTAATCAGAGATCAGGACATCTGGTGGTTTTGTTTAGAAAAAAAAAAAAGTGATTTTTGACTTGACATTATCCCTTTAAAAGTTCTTTCCCTGAAAAGTTAAATGAAGAATGCACTTATGTAAGGCAGGAAGTCTTCAGTATCAAGCTAATAGGAAATTTTGGACTCTGGAAAAATTGACTGCCAAGAGATCTCCAAGGGCCAACTTGCACTCTCAACTATGCTCCCATGACCAAATGACCTCAGTGGGAATTGTATCCTTGCAGATTTTGGCCCAACAGTAAAAACCTAAAAAAAACCCCACTGAGCCTGAGTCTCATATTATCTGCATTTTAATTTGAGGGGAAAAAATGAAGATCTCACTACAAAAATGATCAATTTAGGATTCCCAGGTGTAGCACTGTCACCCCACAAGCTAATATTATTGGTTTTGCATTTCTGATAACCAAGCAAAAGGTTTGTGAAAAAGGGTAGAAAAGTAAAGAAGGGAAAGGCAGCCAAAAATAGATTCCTAAAGGCAAAAAAGCAGATTTTTAACTTTATTAATATAGTTTTCAATAAATAAAAGGCAAAAGAATAGCAAAAGGGATACAGCTTACACAGCGGGATGTTTTATTTTACATTGAAAGAAGTGGAGTTTCTGTACAATAGAAGGCACAAAGAGCAATATCCTGAGACAGGAGTCTAAAAGAAAAGGATCAAGGTAAGCTGGAAGGCAGGACAGTGAGCCCATGAAACATCCAAGAGCTTGAAAAGGTGGTTTAATCCAGTTGGATGAAGATGTCTTTTTACAGGTGAAGCAAAGAAATTTATCTGCATGAAGAAAAGAAGTTGGAAAAAGGTGGAAAATGAAAATGGCATAATGGAAAGAAATAAAGGGAAAAACAGCAACCGCACAGCAGAACTAAGCATGCCAAGCTAGATTGCTAGCAAAATACCATCCCACACCTACTACTGGAATGTTACAGCAATGCCTCATTTACACTTAGATGAGTAAATGTATTTATAGCTGAGAATCAGTTCTGAATGCTCTCTCCCTTACTTAAAGTCCACTTACTAACAAAAGAAAGGAGAAAAACCTCTCATCTGTAATTCAAAGTTCATTACAGACAAGCTGTCACAACAATGAAGTCTCCAAAGCCTGTGGCATTGCTTTCAAACTGGACATCTCTTAGATTTAAGTTATGCTAATATAGTTGCTAATGCATGCAAGAAACTACATTTAGTTCTCTGCACAGAAAAACCTAGAGGCCTGCAATTTGTACATGAAGATGTTAGTGTGAAGAGCCACTAAAAGTATTTTCTGATTTAGAATCAAAACATGCAAAACAGATGATATTAGACCACCACAACTTTCTAATCCTTACAAGGTATGGCAAAAGTAATAATATGTGCACCAAGGGATTTTTTTAACTAGATAAGACAATTTTAAATTTTCAACACATGCAAAGCACATTTGTGGCTCTACCCAAAGTCTAAGATTTACTAAAAATCTGCAACTCCAGATCCTTTAGATGCAGAAGGAACATCTACTGGCATACTTTAGAGTGCACCACAATTGGCCAAGTTCTCCTTTGTCAGTTTTTCAAAATTTATGCACAAGTGCATCACTATGGGGAGGAAGAATTTAAAGGTTTCAGCATAGTTGACTCCTGTTCAGTGTCTTTAGTATCTGTCAGAAAATTTAGTCTGTTACAAATACTAGACCACCAAGCACAGCATGGGTTGGTCATACTCTTACCAACCTTGCAGTTTTACTACTTTTCAAGTTTCTTCCCATAACTGCCTGTTAACTAAAGCCAGTGTTGCAACACTTCCGTCTTGTAAGCTATTTCCATCACTGCCAATAAAATATGTGAAGATATTTTTCAAAGACTCAAGATCACATTCCAAATCCATGTCCTTTTTTTAAAAGAAGGTCTTAAAAGTATTTTGTCATTAGCAATAACTGTTGAGAAATTAGGGCAGGCCAGAAAACTAAGAAACACTACTAAAAAATGAATGAAACACGTTATCTAAATCCCACAGACTACAATGAAATTCTCAGTGTAGATTCTTTACCAGAGGTAGTTACTACTCACAAGAGTAAAACAAACTCTGAAGAAAGCCCTTTGTATAGCACATACTGAAACATTTCTATTCTGGCAACTTAAAAACGGTGGTCGTCTGTGTAACATATCTGAACAGAAGCGAACTGAAAATGGGAAAGTAAAAGTGAATTAAGCATGACAACTATAAGGAAAGGCCAATTCATGTATCCAAAATGAAAATGCAAACATGAGTTTCTAAAGCTAATCTTGAAAAACTCTTAAGAAAATTCACTAGGACAGGCAAGAAGTACTTGCCTACTCTTTACCAAGACAAAAAAAGTAGCTATATTTTACGTGCGTGAACAAACTAAGAGAATTTGTTCACCGTAGAGAGTGAGGGAGTTTCATTTAATAAGACTGCAACTAAGCAATCAGGAAAGTAGCGCAGGCACAGGCAAGGAGGACATTTACATGGAAGTCATATCGTTGAGAGCGTGGTCCAGCTCCTCACTGATCGCTTTGTACTTCAGTTTCTGAGCATATAACTCATCTAATATTTCCCACGGGAAGGCGGAGATGTGCGAGGAAATGGTGTATGATCAAGTGATGGAAGGTGAAGGTGGTGGCATGGGATACCATCCGGAAGCAGTGGCAGGAAAAGGGAACAGTGCACAGAAGGAAGTGGTGTAGCGGACAAAGAACAAAAACAAATCAAATATCAATTAGGAAGGAATAAAAACAGAAAGTAGCTTTACATGAAAAGTCAATGAATATTACTGCATCACTGGCAAGCCAAGCTGAGAGAGATAAAGCCAAAGAAAATCAAGCGTGTAAAGAAAATACAGTTACCATTTCACTAAACTGTATCTGCTTGTATTCTACACTTTGTATAGGCACATGCAACAAAGGTACAGATCTAAAAATACCGCTGTGGTAGAACTAAGCTTTCTATGTCTACTATTCTTTAAAAAGATATTACGGTGTTTGCTACTCTGAAACACAAGCTTTTCCCAGAGGTTTTGTTCTTCCCAAGCATCTTAACTTTTTTCTCCCTTTCTTGCTCTTTTTTTTTTTAAAACAGAGTCACTGACCACTGCGCAGCTGGCTGGTTCTTTCATACCCTTTAAAGAACTCTAGCTCAAGACAGTCTCCTATACCAAGCAAGAAATTTTATTGTAATGTCAAAGTAGCACATTTTCAAGGGAAATATTTTTAAATTAGAAAGCACAAGTGATTTATTTCTCCAGAGCACAAAAAGTACTTTGCTAGAATTCTGAAAGATTCTAAATATTCTAAAACAAATTCCATGTGCTCTATAAAATCATCTCAGCTTCTTGATGTATATACAATGCACTGGTTTTACTGGACAATAATAAGTGTTCTACTTCAAAAAAATAGTTGCGTTGACCTGTGCTTACTCTCAGTCATAAATTGAATTAGCTTGCAACATTCCTAACAACCAAACAAAATACTGTTCCTTGCTGATATTTATAAACAATTAAACCAGGGTATTCATTTTATCTTCTGATTATTTACCTTCTTCGTATAGCCAAGTAGAAGAGTTTAAAGGAAAACAGGTCTCAGAATATAAAAGAAAAAAGGCAAGAGCAAAACACTGTCCACCTAACCTGGTAAGTCAATAATAAATCTAGATTGGAAAATACTACATTCATTTAGGGGGTATTCTTCATATTCTATTTAAAGGAATATTTTATTTTGTTGGCATGGGACTGGTCACGTAAGTAAGAACTTGCAGGACATTCAGTAAAAAATATACAGGTGGACACAAGCTTTGTATTTGGTAGCAAATGAGAAAAAGAAGAATCATACCTTCTAGGTCATCAATGCTCTTCTCCAGCTTGGTTACTGATCTCTCAGCAAATTCAGCACGAGTCTCGGCCTGAGGTTAAGAATGTACATGTCAAAAACCACAGAAGTAATTTTAGGATATTTATGATATATCTAGAAGTACAAAAGCAATTATAAGTACGAGAAAAACAACACAGCAGTGGTTTTTAACTGCACTTTTTTTTTTTAAAAGTACACTGCACTTTATATGCAAGATGGACCTAAAACCGGATCCTTGACCATCTTGACTTCTGTACTTACTGTATTTTTATGCACATAATACAAACACAAAGCCAGAAATGCTTGTATTGTAAAATGCTCTTTTTTTTGAGCACGCATTTAACATACTGCTATTAGCCATAAACTGACTTCATATTAAAGAGAGAGACAGTAGTATTGTAAGATTTGTTACAGAATTTCTCAAATTTTACCTCCTTCAGTTTGTCGGTCAGGATTTTAATCTCCTCTTCATATTTGTCTTCCTTCTGTGAGTACTGTAATTAGAAAGAGCATCACAGATGTTAGACCAAGTATTTGGTTTAGGAAAATATAACATGCATGACAAATCTTTCAATGTAACGTTACCCTCATATCAGCATAGTTAATGGTGCAGTGCATTTTCTTCTACAAGGTACGATGATCATGTTTTGGTTTATTTATTACAAGAACCAAGTTTTGCTCTAAAATGCATGGGACTAGGTAGTGGTAACTCAGGGAAGAATTTAACCCTAAAATTTTGAAGTGGGAGGCTAGGTTAAAGGCAAGATAATATCTTAATACTAAAGCTGAATGACATAGCACACAATATAAGGTTGATGAACAGTTAACACTGATTGAGTCTTTATTTGAATAACGATTCTCATGATTCTGGAATATGGCCAAATACCAGCTAAGTAACAGGCCCATACTTTTCCATTTATCATATGGCCTTAATGAAATACTGTGCAAATATTAAAAAAAAGAATAAGAAAAAATGTAGGCCTTTTGGATTAATTACTTGCCAAGTGACATGCTCTCACGTAAGGCTCTAGCCTACCTTCTCAGCCTGAGCCTCCAGCGACTTCAGGTTGTTGGTCACAGTTTTCAACTCCTCTTCAAGCTCAGCACATTTGCTATTATTTTGAAACAGAGGCAGGAAAGGGGGCAGGGGGAAGACCAGACAAAGCCAAAGAAATAGGAAAAAAGGGGGGAAAAGATAGAGAAAAATGAAACCAATTATGGAGCAAAAGAGCGGCATAGAAAGTAGCTGAAGCCATCACAGAATTGAAAGCAATCCTTCAGTGCCAGAAATATCTTTAAAATATATATTTTTTAAAAACAATTATTTTCTACAGCACTGAGCTTACTTAGAAGTGCTCACACATCCTTTAACTATGAGATAGTTCAGCTTCTTTTCTGGCTGCACAAAAGATTGGTTGTAAAAGTAAAAATGAATAAAAGACTAAGAAAGCCACCAAAGCAAGATGCAAAGAAAGTAAAGAGTGCAGTGAGGATTCATTCATTATTACTGATGGGCTAAGAAAGCTGAAAGACTTGGGTTGCAGCTAAACCTAAAAACTGTATATTAGTATCAGTACCTTATCCTCTGCAGCCATTAATGCTTTCAAGGTTTGATCCATTATTCTTAACTGTTCTTCCAGCTGTCGGACTTGGCTGTTAGTGAACACATGAAATGCACAAAAGCCATTCACAAAATCAGTGTGCAGGTAGAGCATGCAGTGACAACACATACACATATACATACACACACATTTACTTTGGTGTTTACTCTTTATCTCAATCATTACAGTAAATGAGCAAATCATAGGATTGAGCTGAACACACAGTGTACTGCCAACATTTCATGCTGTTACAGTTACTGTCTTGCAGCACCTCACACATATCCTGGGGAAGTTCGATCCCTTACCCTTCCGAAAGTTCAGCGCGTTCCTCAGCCCTCTCAAGATCACTCTCAATAATTACCAATTTACGCGCCACCTATAAGAGGCAAATATAATAATCATGTATTATTGCAAGCTCTGTGCTAATGCAGTCAATGCCTCAGGTAATATCTCTTGCTAGAATAATCTAAATAAAAGGATCAAGCCTTTTCCATAATATTATAGGTTCATAGATGTAGTGTTCAAAGGGACCTGAGCAGATCATCAAGTCTGACCCCCTGCCGTGGGCAGGAATGAATACTGGGCTCATATGACCCCTGGTAAGCTTAAGCTCATATGTTCCCACCTAGGTAATTATCAAGCCTCCATTTAAAGACCCCTAAGGTAGGAGGCAGCACCACTTCCCTTGGAAGCTGGTTCCAGATACTGGCCACCCTGACTGTGAAGTAGCGCCTCCTGATGTCTAGCCTGAACCTACCCTCAATCAACTTGTGACTGTTATTCCTTGTTACTCCGGGAGGTGCTTGGGGGAACAGGGTCTCACCCATTCCCCTCTGGTCTCCCCTGGTACAAAGATTCCCTACTACAAAAAAAAAAAAAGAGTTGACAAGTAAACCAGACCTTTTTTTACTCACAAGGCTCCATTCATATTATGGTACATTGGAAATAGAGCCCATGGAAAACATCCAGTAACATAACAGAATCATAGAAGATTAGGGTTGGAAGGGATTACTGGAAGTCATCTAGCCCAACCCCTTGCTCAAAGCAGGACCATCCTCAACTAGATAAAAAATATAAGAGATAATAGTTCAAAACTACTTCTTTCTTCTTCTGATAGTCTCTCTGAAGACGGCAGGGATTCTTCTCTCAACCATTTTGGTGCAAGCATAGCATAGCAAGATGCCATGACACTAGATGTGTGGTATCAAAACACATGGTAAGACGACTGACAGGTTAGCTTCATTTAATCCTGTTGGTGCCAATTTTAGCTGCTAGACCAAGAAGAGCCTGCTGTGCTAAGAAATAAGCAAAGCTCTTCAGCAGACATAGAACTGCCTCATCTCTGGAGACACCCAGGAGCACATTTCTGCTATAAGTCCTTCATGGGAGCAGCACTATGTTTCTGACCTCTTGTACTTGTATGACAAACAAAACCAAAAAGCTGTAGTCAGAGTCTGTATGGCCTCTGCTCTGCAGTTTGCACTCAAGAACTGACCTCTTCGTATTTGCGGTCAGCCTCCTCAGCAATATGCTTGGCTTCTTTAAGCTGGATCTCTTGGATTTCCATTTTCTCTTCATCCTTTTGGGCTCTGTTTTCAATGACTTTCATTCCTCTGAAAACAGGAAAAACAGGAAATACAAGGTTTAGAGCTTGCTAGTTTACCTCTAACCCTCATGCCATTAGACCAAGATGAATGAAGCGTCAGAGATATTTGACTTCACTGCGAAATGACATTTCCAGGGCTTAGTTCTGTGTACTTGCACTTACAGGCTAAGAATAAACTCTAAGGGAGTCGGACTTAAAAGGAAGAAATAGTTAATTATGTTGTCTGTGCAACTCACAACTCAGCAAACATCTGAAATCATCCACCTCCGTAGATTTTTCATACTTTTTTAATGCAGTGACTAGCTCTCTCCCCTTCAAAACGTAAATGACAATGGGAATTGCTTTTCAGTCCCTAAGAAGAAGTGACTAAGGACAAAATGTACACTACAACTCACATGCTAAATACTTCAGCTCCCTGGCACTGCATCTCCAAATCCCTGGAAGACTGGCAAGGGGCATATTTCTGAGGTGGATATTTAAAATTCTGTGACACCTCCTGTATTTAAGATACTGTCTGCTCTGCACAAAAATTTAATATTTTTGAAGTGACGGGGATTTACCCCAGGCACCAGACAAAAATTCCCTTTCCTAGCTGTTACACAATATGCCATGCGCGTGTTCAAAGCAGCTGTACTGTCAGTGCTGGCAAATGCACACACTGTAAAATGTTCAGGGATCTTTCCAGAAGAAATAAATTGGGACAGATAACTTGTAAAAGTCCAATGGTGTAAAAGTCCAAACACCAATGGGACATGGGCTCCTAAAGCACCTCTAGTGCTTTTGAACATTCTATCCTAAATTCCCCTGATCCTGCATTCGTAAGAGCACAAGAAGCTGCACTGATGCACAAACTGCATACTGCCAGTCCTTTCCTGTTTGCCTTTCCAGACGATTTAGTCTTTGTGCAAGATTTTTCTTGAGTGCTCCAAGAGTGGTGCACGATACAGGCTTCTATCAGGGAAGCAGTGTGCATCACCTCCACAAAATTCTAAGGCCAAAATACAACAGCCTTGGGGCTAGGATTAACCTTTATCTCTACACCAGGTCAAAGGCCAAACCACAACCCCTAATGATTCAAAGGATACTTGAAAATATTATCTCTACACTGGGCATGTAAACTAAGACTAAAACCTGAATGCTCAGTAAGTCTTTGTGGATTAGGGGAAGGATTGACTGAGGTCCACATATACGAAGATGGAACTGACCCCAGGCAATCAAACACAAAAGTGGTTTAGCTTACTTTTAGTTAACTCACACATGACTATATTTGATTTGTAAGGACAGGGAACTGATCATTGAGCCATATTCACCTTTCACTCTCATCTGCTGCCTTCTCAGCCTCCTCCAGCTTTTGCAGAGCAGTTGCCAAACGCTCCTGTGCACGATCCAACTCTTCCTCAACCAGCTGGATACGTCTGTTCAGAGAAGCTACCTCGCTCTCAGCCTAAATAAAGGAAGCAAAGAAAATAAATTCATAATATAAGCTAAGTCTTTTGTAAAGGACCATTGAGACGGTGTTAAAATGAAAGTTGGGAGAAAGCACATGGAATGAACCCTAAACTAATCCATCGAGTAGCCTGCGTGCACATACTCCCACCAATGCCTTCATTAAAACGTGCAGTCATCAATTGGATTTATTGGTCCTCAACTTTATATGAAGTACTTAAATACCACACAACTTGTACTAACAAAATAGGACATATTGTCAGATTCCATTTTTTCCCCTGGTTTTGTGCATTCAGCTTGCAGATATGAACAGAGCAAAGACACTAAAAACTTTGTTTAAATGTAGCAATTTTTCACATGAACTAATTTGTCTGCCCCGGACCAGTGTATTGAAGGAAGATGTGCAGCTTTAATCCCAAGTCTAGGGGTAGGAATTTGCCCTTATTTCTAAAAAAGAAGTCACGTTACTTCTTTGAGCTACAGGAAAGTAGGAAGCATTAGCTCTGTGAGTTAGCACAGGGAATGCCTACACTTACAATATATTGGTGAAGGAATCTGCATAAACCTCTCTCACAAATGGAGTGCTAAAACACTGGAAAACAGTATAAGTGCAAGATATAGATGGGGTTTGTTTATAAAAGATACAATGCTAACAAGTATGTTAACAATTAAAGTTACATTACAGGAGTTCTGGCCTCTGCAACTGCCAGGTACAGGACATGTGAATGGGTACGGTGATAAGCATCCTCTTCATTATTTCCTCCATCTTTGCCTTCCTTGCATTACCTACTGTTCTGGTCTTCTGTGTACCTCTTATCTTTACAAGCTTTCACTTGAGACATTTTTCAAGCTACATCTGCTTTGGTCACAGAATAAGTCCTGTAATGGGATTCTATAAACAATTTCCTTATTAAGCCTCTTGTTTTCAAAAGGACACAGGTGAGAAATGCTTAGAATAAAAAAAGATCACTATTCAAAAGGTATATTACTTTCAAGAAAACAAATTACATTTTAAGTTATTGAAAACTAATTTCAACATTTACCCAGTCTGTTCTTCCAGGAAAGTACAACTGTGATACCTGATAACTACTACTTGCAAATACTGGTACCCTTTTGCGATTGAAGATTTTTAGGTGTTACTATTTACAGCCATAGCAAGAGGCCTAGTCATGGGCCAGGAGTGGATCTAGGATTCTGAAAAGGTGTGATGGAGAGCTTCCTGGCATGGCAGGGTGCACTTGGCAGCTATGACCAGAGCTATCAACAGCAGAGAGCTCACTACCTGTGCGCTACACAGTTAAAGTACAGTGCAATTGAACCAGTGCACCTCCCTTCCCCCCACTTCCCTTCCACCCCAATCTGTCCCTGTCATTGACCAAGACTCCACCGTGCTAAGTTTAAATGAGAACAGCTTCTATATGGGGCAATCTCTACCCTCTACTACAGTGGTAAAACTGCCACTAGAACAAATGGAAGTTGCACACACAGAGTAAACATACACATTTATGAACTATTAAAGGTCACTGGGAACACTGGCAGTGAGACTGCAAGATTAGGCACAGAAAGAAAATAAATCCCTAAATGTCTATGTTATCTCAAGTTTTCTATTTTCTCTGGCCATGTAATCAGGCTGCAAGGCTCAGCACTCCTTACAAGCCACAAGATTTTTAGGAGAAGAACACAGATATTTCAACTTGAAAAGCAGAACTTTTTTTGGCAAGTGGGGTTTGCAAATAGTACTTTTGCAAATGCCGGCTGAAAATACTTTGAGAAAGTAGCAATACTGCAAGTTAATTATTATCATGCTAAAACTGTTCTTACTGTGATAAGAGCATACAATATACTTAGAAAACATAGGGTGATTAAAGTTCAAGTTCTTACTTCCTGTTCTGTAAGCTATAACTCAACAAGGGTTTACCAACTAGCCTTATAAGGCCCAAGTTATTCTGCTGCAGAGCAGTACTTCTGTCCTTATATGGTAAGGAAAGGGAAAAAAAAATAGTGATGACATTAAGGGGCACTCCCATGGCTAACAGATAAACATAACCTTTTGCATTTGTGCCAAAGCCCTTGTACGCTACATACTTTCACTGTGCGATGACATGAATACACTACAGGTTGATTATTGTTACTGTCTAAGGAAGATTTTTTGCCAGCTATTCTTATAACTGGATTCACTGACTTTTGATTTTTTTAAAAAGAAAATGGCTGCAAGTTATCTCAAAATCTCAGTAATCTTGTTAGCAGTCAAAAGATGCAAGTTCCAATATGCTGTGTCGAGTGCCTAAGCTTTCTTATGGTTTGCATTTCGTACCTTGCACAGGAGAAAAAAAAAAATCTAGCTGATCACACGCCTTAGTATTACACTAAGGGATGGGTCAGCTTTACACCCCAGACTGCTAGCTGCAGTGAACACTTTGATAAGAAAAACTTAACAGTACAGGAGCAGCTACATTTGTGTAAATGGTACTCTTTCCATACAGCAAAGCCATGTATTTACACGTGCTCATCAAGTCCATTACCTGTTTTTAATCACATCACTACTTACTTCTATTAAATGGAAATGTATTATCATGATTATAAACTCCCTATGAAATCTAGATAAAATATTCAAGAAACAAAACCCTGCCTTCAAGCATGCAAAGCTCAAATCTCTGGTCTGTGTCAGAAATTTAATAAGACTTGCAGAAGTCCTCTTATTAGAAGTGGCTAAAGCCACCTTTATGGGCCTGACCCTGTTTCCATTGAATGCAACTGCAAAACTCCTACTGTTTTAAGTAGCACAAGATTAGCTCCTTGTACAACAGAAAATGTAACTTAGCAGTAAAGCTGTTTTTGCTGAAAAGATTCCATAGTGGCTAAGTCATCCATCAACTCAAATAGGAAAAATCACTTTCCTTTCCTGACCTAGTCCCTTCCTTCACTGACCTAGTTACTGCTATCAGTTTTTTAGAAAAAAAGTGCCATGGTTAGGATTGTTTAAAAAGGAACTTTTAAAGAAACAAATTAGCAACCCGTGACGCGATCTACCTCCAACTGCAGAAACAGTTATGTGAAGTGAGTTTGTAAGAACGTTAAAATACGGTCAGAGAATTCAAATGAGCCATCACTGTAGTCTCTAGGAAGGCCATCTGTAACCAATCAGGAAACATTTCTTTCACTGATGGATATCAGATAGCACACTTGTGAATTTACTGCCTTGATTAGAACAGACAGAACATTCCAGGCAAAGGTCCCTTGGCACCTTTTTTATAACCAACTAAATTAATGATAAAACAACTGTTTTGCATCATTTTTCTACAACTACCGAAGACCCCAAAACACCTCTACGAGGAATGTTATAATATATATTTTACAGAAAGAGAAATTTAGGTACAGAGATGTTAGGAGAACTGCCAAAGGTCAGTGGTAAACCAAAGAGCAAAGCTCCTGGTCTCTTGCTGTACCCACGGAGAAAACTCCATCTCGAGGCATCTACCAAATGATGCTTCTCTCTTTTGTAACTTACTTCATGTGGATATATCTGGGAGGAACAGGTGACTTGGCTCATACTTCTGATATCAGAGCACTCACCGTCCTTGAAACCATTGACTAGACTGGAAACAACATCTGAAGGAGGATGCTCACAGTGCTGGCCTGAGGTGTTTCTCTCGGTCTCTGGGAAGCCAGGTGTAATTCCCTAGGTAACCTTTGATAAGCAGCCTCTGTGCCCCAGCTCCCGGTTTATAAAACCGGACAGCATCAACACTGCTTCAGAGGGGTGCTGGGACAAGACGTACATTCACCACATACTACGCTAACAGAAGTGCCTCAATCCAGCTACGCGCTGCATGGCAAGACACTGTAGTCAAAGGCTCAGATTCGGCGGCCAGGAGCTAGGCCCCGACTTCAGGCACCCACACAGACGTGACCCGCCATTCAAGAGCAGGAAGGACGGCTGGGCAGGGGGGGGGCCGGGGGCCGGGGACGTGGCCTCAGCAGGAGCTGGCCGCCTCAGGCACCAGGGGCCCGGTGCTGCCCCACGACCCTGGCACCTAAACTCTGCCCCGGGTCTCTTGCTCTGCAGGGCGGCGGCTCCGGCCGGCACCGCGGCCTCCAGGGGCCGAGCAGGGCTCCGAGCCGTCTCCCCCCACCCTGCG